GTGGGAGGCTACCCCCCCAGGCTGGTGGTGCGGCCGTTCCACTAGTCTAATTATTTATTTTATTTTATTTTATTTGTTTCTGATTATATTTTGTTTTCTTGTATTTTATCGCTCTGCTGACCCTTGGGGTCCATTTTATTTTGGTATACCTTTTCTAGGTACGTTAGCCTGTGACCACGGAAATTGGCCGAGTCAAGTGATGAATTAGTACGGAGAGATTGAGACAGAAGGAGGTACTGGATAGAGAGACCGGGATGGTTTTTAATGTGAAGACAACAACAACAACACTCATAAAGGCTACTGCTGTACATATTCGGAATCACAAATATACACACAGAAAGACTACCCGTTCGATGCTGTATATATATTTTTTGAATTTCTGAACAGGTCAGTCAGGTGGTTGTTGATTTCCCACCTCAATTTGATTTTCAACTGCATATGTCGAGTATAGGGGCGACAAGAGGCGTGCATAATTGCGAGCATAAACGAGGAATTTTGTGCATAACGGCGTGCGTAAGTCGCCAAATTGGGCTTATGCTCGCGGAAAAAAACGTGCATAGAATTTTAAGCAAACGTGCAGAATAGGTGAAGCCCTAACGCTAGCACTAGAGACGGTCACCTCCGTCAGAAATGATCATCACCTACAGTAGCATGATCGCATACTCCGTTGCCGGCAACTCTACTTCTACTGCTATCGAGCCAGCTCGACGGTTGTGATTTACAGCAGTGGTTGCCAATCAATTTGTGTCCTCTCGTCATTGCACCTTCACGCCTGGCCCAATCCGCCGCATCTGTTCGTTCAATTGCGCGCGCGCACTATTGTCTGCAGGCTTTATGTTAGGATGTTAGGGTCCCCCGGCACCACACATCCCCGAAACCTCCAACCATCCCCCCGGTGAAGACCTTCAACCCACGAGGACAGACTACTTCGTCTTATCGACGATGATGAACGGGCAAGTGAACAGCTGCCTCACGGCGGTGATCATGCTGCTGGCGGCGGCAATCCGGGTGGGGTGTGCGTTAGGTACCCGTTTTGTTTCCTTTCGGGGTTACAGCTGGTTTGCTGCGTTTTGAGACTTGGCCATCGTAGCGCGCCGCTGAGCACTCCTTCACGCAAGCTACCTGAGGAGGGTGTACATCGTACCTTTGCTATGGATGTCATGTTTGTGTGCAAAGGCATGCGGGCGCAACCACCTCCGTGTGGGTTGTCAATCTGCATGAACAGCTTGCATGAATCTTGTTCAACATTCAATCCGCCGCCTACGTCAGGTCGCTCTCTCCCGCACCCTGTTGGCTCGTTACGTATGATGTTCCCCGTTGTTTGTGTTTGCGTGCCATGACGCCAGGCCGACGGGTTCGTGTGTCCAACTGGCCGAGTGGTGTCGGGGAGGAGCGCGGTGTCCATGTCAAGCTTGACCCAGGCGAGTTCCGATGCGCAGAGTTTCTTGCAGACAGGATACAAATACAACGACGTGGAGGAGATATTCTTCTTCCGAACATGTTTACCAGTTAACCCCCACCAGAGGCAACACGAGGCGTGTTCCGCACGCAGCCATTCCCCCCTGCAAAAGCGTCCCACGCTGGTGGATCACACTACTGTGCTTACTATTATCACGCAGTAGGGACACACGCTAGGTTCCGAGCTGAATCCATCCCGTCTACTTTAGCAGTGCTGTAGGTCCCAACGGCAACGAAATATATTGTGGGGTCCGCCGCTGTCTATAAATGTTAGTTACGACGCCATGGTAGCATGTCGACGGGTGTGCACAGGATTTCACGTCGACGCCATGGGATTTCATAGCCACTGTCGTAGCGCTGTCTGCAGGCCAGCACCCGTCAAACCTCATTGTCTCTAGTCGTTGAATCATGTGGATGTAGCCGCGCGTCGTAAACAGGCAGCGAAATATAAGCTAGTGTAGCTGCTGTTCGAACAGGGATGAAACTACGACCCACCTCAGTACCTCAGACAGCGTCGATTGCACCACAAGGACCCACACGTAATTATAGTTATGCGGCCTTCCCCTTGTTGGAAGCAAGCCTCACATATCGTGAAACCCTTTTTGGCTTTGCTCCCCTCTCTGCTCACAACTCAAAACCACCTTCTCTTGTCTCCAACAACAACAGCATCTACCACCACCACCTTCATCATGGCTCAGCAAGGCAGCACTCCCCCGCGGTATATTGTCGGGGTATAACGGCCGCCCTGAAGGCCTATCGAGACTTGGCAAGTGTTATTCTATCTTCGGCGGGGATAGAGCGCGCAGGCTGCCCGGCGCAGATGCGATCGATGAACATCGTGAGCTCTTTGTCCAAATGGTGTCGGAGCGTGCTACAGTAAAGCAGGACTTCGTGCTGCTTACCGGGAATGATCTTACTTTTGTTGATGAGGAAAATGGTGTAACGGCTGACGGCACTGGCGATGCAGCTGGCGCTTCGTAAGTTCGATGCTGTAGATGAAGGCCTGCAGGTGATGGAAACAAGTTTAAAGAGAAAATAGAAGAGCTTTTTTTGGGAACCGACCCTTATCGGCGGGCACAAGTATCGGCGGGCATAAG